AGCTTTCTTCAACAATGGAGATGGAGGTTTTCAGAGCTCTCTCTCTCTCTCTCTCTCTCTCTCTCTCCCCTTGGTGTCTTGGTCGAAGTTGGATGATGAGGGAGATGGGGTGGGTTTTCCTTTTTGGCATATTTGCCATATGAGTGTGAGAGGGGTCCCTTAGGTGTCAAGATGGTCTCCCCAATCCCTTCAAGGGTTTTCAGCCCCATTTGCACTCAATCAAGTCTCCAAGAGTTGACAAAACCGTGGAGTGGCCCCCACACATGTGGGAGGTCATCCCTTTGTGTCCCGGTGTGTACAATCGACCCCGAAAGTTGTATTTCTCGGACTGTTTTAATTATATTTTATTTTATCGGGTCAAATAAAATATATTACATGTCCACGATCATTATGGATCTTAATAATGAATATACATTCCCCGACTTTAATTTAAAAGTCTCCGAAATTCATTTCGGACTGTTATCTGAAAAATTGCCGGTACTGGTAATTGGGCTCTGTTTGACAAACTGGTCAACCCAATGCCTTTCTTATGGCCCATTATGAATGTCCACCACCATGTAACTATTATCTAGACCAAGATGAATATAACATGTGGTCTCGTATTATCGGGTCACCCCCCGTTCCGAGTGTGGGCCCCACGTGGAATTTACAATTCACGGAAAAGAAATGACAAAAATTTACAACCTCGTAAATTCATTACTCGATACACCATACTCAATACATAATTTACATAAAAGGTAAATATATTTGGGGACGGTGTTACATAAAGTGACTTCTGTAGTTTACTAACTAAGTCTGATTTGGAAGGTAGAAAACCATGAGGTGGTTTCATATACACCTCCTCATTGAGGTCACCATGTAGAAAAGCATTATCTACATCTAGTTGTTGGAGATGCCAATTCTTAGATACAACAATGGATAGGAGAAATTTAATTGTAGTAATCTTGGCTATTAGAGAGTTTCAAGGAAATCAACCCGTTCTGTTTGTGTGTATCCTTGGGACACCAATCTGGCTTTATACCTCTCTACAGTACCATCTGTCTTGTGTTTGACTTTATAAACCCATCTACTACCTACAACAGGCTTTCCTGGAGGTGGTGAAACCAATGACCAGGTCTGATTTGCTTCTAAGGCCTCAATTTCTGTCATCATAGCCTTTTTCCAACAATCCAATTTCATAGCTTCCTTGAAAGACTTGGGTCCAGAAAGGGGAAAAATGGATAAACAGAAGGAAGTATGTGTAGAAGGTCAATTAGAATAGGAAAGAAATGAATGCAAGGGATAGGGTGATGATGTGGAAATGTTGCCACAGTAATAGTCTGACAAATAGGAAGGTGGTTTAATGTTTCTTGTTGAGGTCCTTTTGGGAACTTCAGTGCCTGATGTGTTCTGATCAGTTGTTTCAGTTTCATGAGAGGTAGAGGAAGATGGTCTATTAACAGAAGTAAAATATTGATGAAAATCCATTCTTTGACTAGAAAAGTCAGTATCAATTAAGGAATCAAAGTTTGAGTAAGAAACTGGAGACTGGGGATAATCATCAATGTGACTTTGGTCTAGAGCAAAAGGAAAAGTTGTTTCATAGAAAACAACATTTCTAGACACAAGAATAGAATGAGAGTGAAGATTGAAAAGCAAGAAACCTTTGGTTCCAGCTTTGTATCCACGAAAAAAAACATTTGGAAGCTCTTTTATCAAATTTAGTTCTGTCAGCATTCAGAGTGTTAACAAATGCTAAACAACCAAAAGTTTCCAGATTAGAAAGATCTGGTAAAGTTCCAAACACCATTTCATATGGAGATTTATCATGTAAGAAGGGTGTTGGTAATTTATTTATGATGTATACAGAGTGTCTTATAGCATAAGACCAGAAATGTAAGGGAAGTTTGGATTGGAAAAGAAGACCTCTGGCAATATTCAAGATGTGTTGATGTTTCCTTTCAACAATACCATTTTGTTGAGGAGTTTCAGGACAAGAAGTTTCATGAAAAATTCCATGCTGCTGGAAAAAAATTTTAAGGAATTCTTTACCATGGTCAGATCTTAACTTCTTAAGTTTTGTTGAGAATTGATTTTGTATAAGAAGTATGAAACTGGGAAGAACTGTCTGTATTTCAGATTTAGTTTTGAGTAAATAAACCCAAGTAAATCTGCTGAAATCAAACAACAGTTAAAAAGAATATGTATCCTTCAAAGGAAGGGATACTATATGGTCCCCAAATATCAACAGATTCAACATGGATCATTTCAAAGAAGGGAGTTGAAATACTAGTGCCGAGAGGAAAAAAGAGTTTCTTTTGTTTAGCATAATGACAAACATCACAAGGTTGCAAGTAAAAGAAGAAATGTCATCATACTTAGAACTCAGAATTTTCAACACTTTATTAAATGATTGGCCAAGTCTGTTGTGGCATATCATGGAATTATTAACAGCATTTACAGTGGAACATTCAGAAACAATACTATCTAAAACAGTACAAGTACTATCTAGAACACTAAGTGAAAGAGAATTTGAAGAACATTTGATCTTTCCCAAGGCACTGAAATCCTTCAAGTAAAATAGTCCATTGTACATTTCAGCTACTCCAATCTTCTTGAAATTGGAGCTCTGCACAATGAAACACATGTTAAAAGAAAAGAGAAGAAAACAAGTAATGGTTTTGAGTAACTTTAAAATAGAAATGAGATGTACAGAAAAGGTTGGGATATATAGAACATCTCTAAGAAATAGATTTCCTAATTGAATGTTGCCAGAATAGGATGCCACAATGGAACTATTGTTAGGCAATCTAACATGTATAGGCTTGATTTCTTTAAGAGACAAAAAGAATGATTTACTAGGACAAATGTGGTATGTGGCACCACTATCTAGAATCCAGGTGGAAGGAATGGAATTACCTGAACTCTCATTTTTAAATTGTTCAATGTGATTGACAGAAGATGAAGAAGGGTTCACTTTGGTTTGCTGGAGCAAAGCTATGATGGCATTATATTGATCCTTTGAAAGAGTGAACTGATCATGATTAACACCATTGACCAAGGAAGAATGCTCTTAGGCAGTATTTGTGTCCACTTCAGCCAAACTTGCAGATGGTTGGAAGACTGAAGGATTGTTTCTCCCACGAGTCTTATACCCATCTGGAAAACCATGTTTATGATAACATGTCTCAATTGTGTGATTAGTCTTTCCACAGTGAGTACACAACTTATTTCTTTTCCCAGTGAATCTGTTGGTGGCATTGTTGCTCTTATAATTGCTATGTGTGGCTTTTGGAATGAAAACTTGATTGACATTTTCTTTTGAGTTGATGAAAGCAATAGTAGTGTCAGCAGGTGAAGACAAGATAGGATCACCAACAAATTCTCTCTCATGCTGAAGAACTAAATTGAAAATCTTAATGATTGAAGGCATAAGATCAATTATCATGAGTTGGGATCGAATCTGTGCATACATGACATTCAAACCTCGCAGAAACCTAATTATACATTCATCTTCTCGTTCTTTCTTGACTTTCTTAATCAAATCACAGGAACAAGTTGTAGCACAAGTACAAAGAAGATTACAACGGTACAGTTTCAATTCTTTCCACAGAATATTTAAACGAGTATAATATTCGGACACTGTTGATGTACCTTGTTTGCAGGTTTGAATTTGAACTTGAAGATCTGCAATACGAAATTTGTCAGAATGTGAGAAGCGTTCCTGAATATCTTTCCATATCTCTGAAGCTGTATCCATCCACAATACAGACTGTTTGATGGAAGGACTCACCGAACGAATCAGCCATGACATCACCATGCGATTGCATCGCTTCCAAGCTTCTGATAATGGATATGAATTTGGTGGACAAGGAAGAGTTTCGAAGATGAATAGTTCCTTATTTTTGGATTCCAGCGCAACAACCATATCTCGTTTCCATTGATGATAGTTGTTTTCACTCAAAGTTGGAGCAACAAGAATAATGGCTGGATTTTCTCCAGGATGAAGGAAGTAGGGATTTGAAGAATTGACAACGTGATAAGGAGGCTGAGACATAATTGTTGATGATTATGAAGAGATGATGCTTCTAAAATCTGAAGAATGCGGAAGAAATGAGATGAGCAGTATCTCTGATACCATGAAAGATTTCTTGGAAACGGAAGATAGAAAAAATCATCTATGACTCATTGAAGTAGCAGAGGACGACACATAGTTCCTTTATACAAAGTTTCAGAAGTAACCAATTTACTAACTCTAACTAACTGAACAAACGAGATGAGAATACATTTTGACTATTTTGACTGTACTATCCTAATAAAGGTACTTGTTAGTTTTTTAATTGCACACATAATTATTATGAAGTATTATTTGTGGAAAAAGCATAATACTACGTATTTCATACACAATTTAAAGTTATCGTGCCAAAAAGAAGAATGAAGGGCAAATTTATGTAAACACAAAATCGTATTCACAGAAAATCATCCAGTTACAAATAATTTGTGGATTGTTTTGTTTGCCGAGCCGGGGATAATGTCCTGTACCAGCTTTGGATTTTTTGTTTTGGATTTTGGGCTGGGAATTATTTACCGTGCTGGTTTTGATTGACCGGCCTTCTAAACACCTCTCCTCCTGCCATTCACTAGGATCGGTGCACGAGTACTTTCTAAATTTCTATAAAAACAAAACAAAACAAAAAAAAGAATGAGTTTTTTATTTTCAAACTTTAGAAAACAACACCATAAGACATTGGAAATGTAATCCATAACACTCATAATTTTCTACTCCCTCTGTCCCTAAATTTACTTCCAACTTTCCCTTTTCGTCCGTCCCAAAAAGAACTTCACTTTCCCTTTTTGGTAAAGAATTTGTGGTTCACATCATTTTCTCTCCTCTGCACAACTCTCTACCACACAATTCTCACTTTCTTAATCACCGTGCCACTTTAATTTGGAAGAACAATCAGGAACGGAGGGAGTATAATTTTATAGGCCAATATTTACCCAATATGAGGCGATGTACCTTTAGGAAAATATGTGGTGACATATATAATCATTATTATATGTACTTCTAATTTTTGTTAATATGATTGAGAATATTGAATAACTAACATGTCCCCAAGTCCAAAATGTTAATCAACCTCACTCAGATCTAGAAGGCTTTGGACGACGCAAGAAGGACGAAGCTCCCTCACTTAGACCACCGAAGCACGGCGAGCAATTTCCCTCCTAAACAGAGGTAATGTATTCGATCTTGTCTTAATCCTGAAAGTTCAATTCAACTAAAGAAACCCTAAGAAGCTAAACACCGATTCTCCCTATTTTATAAACGCCCGCAACCCTTCTTTAATTCACCTGCTGTTATTTTAATCCTACCTGCGGCTCTCCCTCCCTGTGGATTTGGTATAATTTCAAATTTGATTGAGGTGTGCAGACGTTTGTGTGCTTCATCGGTTTGATGTAATTTTTATTTCAATTTTGATCTGTGAGTGAAGTGTATTTCTATTGTTCTGGTATCTCCTTTCAGCTTCTAAAGAATTTCTGGAATGCTTCTACTTTCAGCTTATATTATTTTGAAGGGAGCTTCTAATTTGCATAGATTTCAGTATGTCATATAGGTCATACATTCAGTTACTAGAGCTTGAGTAACTCTATTACGAGTGATTTTTTATGGACTGAGTTATTCAAGCTGCTTATATTTCTGTTGGACATATAAAATGCAATTTTTCAAATTACACAAAATGCTATAAAGAGTTTTATTCTTTGGGATGCTGCTCTTAGTTTAGCTTTTGTTTTTCAAAATTTGCTCAAACTGCCCTGAGACTAGCTTTTCTTATACTTGTACAAAAATACATCAATCTGGAATTTCATTGATTGTTTGAGGACATTTCCCCTATGCATCATGATGCACTTTTTTAGTTTTTTTAAATAGTAACATAAATTCATCAGTCTGGAATATCTTTAGTTTCTTTCTAAATCAAAATCTAGATCTCGTTTGAAATTGAAATTCTCCGCTTATCCATAAAGAAAAGACTGCTCATTTATATGGCTGAAATCTTTAACTTGGCTGAACTCTTTAACTTTAGTTTATTTCATAAATAAATTTTTGGTAAATATCAGAACGCAATAGTCTTAAGAAATATAGTCATATGTTATAAATCATTTGATAAAGATAAGGGGATACTGGTTTTATGGTTGTAAGAGTTAATAAATCTATAGCATACCAACTAACAAACTTTAAGAGAATGCTTTTCTGGATTTTCTTTTCCTTTTTGAAAAAGTGAAAAATACACGTATCTGGAATGTCTTGTTTGATTGGTTGGTTTCAGAATGAATCTTGATCTAGGCATCTAGCAAGTATTTAGGGCCATTCCCTTATTCACATGAAGATTTAGAATTATTTAAATCTAGCAAGTATGCTTCAGTTATTTAGAATGATGATGTGATTTTAGAAATAAAAAATATACGAACTATATAAAAAGAATAATTTGTTTGTACGTATTTCCTAACCCCACCCCCCTTTAAATAATTAATGCCATAATGCTTGATGAAATATTAGACAGTAAGGTTACAAATTGATGAGATGTTGAGGATGCATGCAGATGCCAGTACAAGGGGGGTTATTTGGTGTGGTGTATACATATCGTTTAAAGCCACATTTATCAAGGCCCACCCTGTTTTCCAAAATAGTTTATTGAGCATTTATCGCGGGGATAAAAAAATTTAATATTAACTCAGGATAATCCTTATTATGGAAGCAGGGTGGCCTTGTAAACGCCTAAGGCGATTTTGCTACCATCCCATCCCTTTTCAAGTCATTTCTTTGCGATGATACAATCTCTTGAAAAAATGGTTTTGAATTATTATTCAATTCTTAAAGCATTGTTAGTATTTTATGATGAGGGTCTTCACCTTCTTGATATAAGATGAGCAGCTCAGTTAATGTCGTAATGTACCTCCTAATGATCTCATAAACATTCATTTGGAATCATAAGAAAATAAGAGTAAAAAAGAGTAGGTAGAGTTTCTAAGACAGAGTATCATCGTAATTTGGATTGTTAAACTTATAGCATGTGAAAATGTATGCAGGGAACTTCACCTTCTTGCTGAAAGATGAGCAGCTCAGTTTATGGCGTAATGCACCTCCTAATGATCTCGTAGACATTTATTTGGAATCTACAAGAGAAAGAGAATAGCTAGACTTTCATGAGACAGTGTATTTTATCATCATAATTTGGTTTGTTAAATTCATAGCATGTCAAAATGAATGCAGGAAATGTATATTCGTGTTAAGCGGGGTAAGACAACCTACTTTATTAGCTGTCAACCAACTGAGACAATCAGACAAATCAAGGATAAATTGCATATCCTCATAGATCAACCTGTAAATGATCAGCGCCTAATTCTATTGAATGGGGGAGTTTTGGATGATGCAAAGACGTTGGCAGATCAGAAGGTAAATCTCCAATATATTTTCAGCCCATTAGTCCATGACATAAATCTTAAGTATTTCAAATATAATAGACACCCTCTTCTCCGCATCATTTATAGGTTTTTGGTTTTGGCCTTACTTCATGTGCCTTCATATTGAATCTTTACTCCCTCCATTATAAATAAATTAATGCACATGCCTTTCAGGTTGAAAATGACTCTGTGCTTGCACTGACTCTGAGACAAGGTTCTCTTTCTTTTATAACTCTTCATTTCGATTTTGTATGCTTTCTTGCTTATTAGATACTAAATATACATCCACAGAGTAGTGTGCATTCTTATATACTATCAAACTATTGATAGTACCGTTTTGCAGTGTTGCGCTGTAGTTTGAAAAAAATTAATTAAACCAATATTGGTTAGTGATAAAAGAGGGTAAATATTCACTTGGACTATAGAACTAGTAAAGCAAGACTAGTTCTTATTTATACACACAATCTTCATGAGATATGAAAACACCATTGTTAGATAAGGAATCAAGGATATATTTGGAAGCTAGAATTACAAATGATATGCTGAAACTCAAGTTAATTAGAACATCATTGATAGTAGAATTATATAGTATCTTTCCGTTTTTCTTGCACCATTTAATTGATTATTCATGAGTATTTTTCCTGCTTTTTCTTAGGTAACAACGAATTTGAGGATGTAACTATCATGAAACCAGATGACTCTTTAGCTCTGTGATCCAGATAGCGTTGGCTAATTTGTGATGCAAGAAAGAACTAATGGAACCACCATTGCTCTCCATATAAATATCTGTACAATGGAGTTGAGATAGCTGTACTAGTTTTTTTTAAAGTTGCACTTGTAATTTTGCTATGCTTTCTGACCTTGCTTTGTGGACAAACTACCATCATGTTAACATTTTGGTTTTAGTTTAAGTTATTGCAGAGCAGCAGCAGGTGAACAGGTTACAATTTGCAACTGGTTCTGTTGTTGTTACTTTCTTTACTAGTGGGCTAATGCGTCAAACCACACAATGTAAGATCCAAATTCCGAGTATCGGACTCCTTTTTTTTTAAAAAAAGGGATCAAATCCCTTTATCCACACATAATACCCTGAAACATTAAATTTTGAATTTAGAATTCAAATAGAATATAGCCGTTGGGAATTGGGATGAGGCGCGTGGAACATTTGTTGATTGAACTATATTTAACTAAACCTAACAAATAGATTTAATTTAGTATAATGTATACATTTCATATTTGAAATATATTAATATTTTCTCAAAATACCCCAAAAAAATCAATACGAGCTGCGAATCTGGGATTAGATTGGGCTTGGCTGGTTGATCGGAAGTCAGGGGCTCGGGGCCAATCCAAATTCTAAATATTGGTTCAATCCTAGGGATGGACTCGTTGCGGGCCGCCCGGCCCGCTACTGTGCAGAATCGGCCCGGCCCGAAGGGGTAACCGGTTCCGAGTCATGAAAAAGGCGAATCGGCCAGGTTGGGCCTGATTCGTTTTTTTTGGGTTTGGACTGGGTTTAGTTGGGCTGGGTTGGGTGTTTCCTGGGGGTGGGGCTGTGGGGGGATGGGGGGAATAAATAAGAAAGCACAAAAAAACAAATTGAACCGGAACCGGCCTGGGCCGGTTCCGGGCCTTACCCATAACCATCCCAGCCGGGCCCAAGCCCGAACCGGAACCGGGCCCGGTCCACCCCTATTTAGTTCTGGGTTCAGCAAAAAACAACCCTGACCAGTGACCACCAGTCCGTGTCTAGTTGTCCACCCCTAGTTTTAGTTAATGTCAATAACATACATGTATGGTCCACTATTTGATGGTATGTGATTGAAATTAAAATCTTTAAGTTGAAATGAATCAAAGAGATAGAGTAAAATTGATAATAAATACGAATTATTTTATTATAGTGTGCTGAATCAAAATGTTATTATTGTCACCATCTTTGTGTTTGCACCTTTAATTCGAAATGCTGTGTCAAAGGTATTTAAATCGCAAACATCAATACTGATCAAAGTTCTATTTTTGTAGCAAAATTACTATGTCTTTAGTTGTAAATCACATTATTCTACGTCCATCGCCACCTAATATCTTTACAAGTATACAATTTGTTTGATTTTGTAGTTTCCAAACAAATATGGATTTGACCCGGCAAGGAAGAATCGCATTGTAAACATATTCAAGGTTCACCCATACGAGCTTTGATTCAAGTAAAACCAATTTGGCCAATTGCTGGTAATTAATTAATGAGAAACCAAGTGCAAAACTATCATTCAAAACACCAATTATTAACATGTAAAACTTTCAACCAACCAATTCAAGACTTTGCAGGATGAAGTTATTACTCCAGTAATTTTCGTTCACTACTTTTCTCATATGTCTAGACAGGGATGGATTTAGGGGGGCGGGGAGCGACCGCCCCCCTTGGACATTCAAATTTTTTTACCATATATGTAATATTTTCATAAAACTTTCATAATTTAATTAGATTCGCCCCCCTTAGCTTTTAATTTTCAAAATTAATATATATAGTCTTACATAATGTAATACTTAATTAAAGATTTAAAAGAAGAAACATCTAAAATAATTCACATAACTTAAACAAATAGACAATAGAGTAACTCGTTATTTAAGATTTAGGATACTTATTATATAAGAATTACTAGTTTTGTAATGTTTAATTATCTTTATTAGATAACAAGTACTGGATTTCGTAAAACATATATCAAACAATATTAAATACCAGACACACGAATTACACAGTTTTTAGATCACGTGAAATGAATCCAAAATATAAATATTTATAGACATTAGATTACATAATTCATTTACTTCTAGCTTTCTAAAAATAATTTATTGCATGGATAATAAACTCTAAATTATTATAGAATTAATAAAAATATTAAAATATAATATGCACCATATATATGTATGTGTGTGTGTGTGGTGCATATTATTCTAAAAATAACAATCTCATACATACTAGTATACTACTATTGTAATATTAAGAAAACTTCTCATGAGTCATGACTCATGAACACCCTCCTTGGTGGACAAAAATTACATTTCAATAACCGATTCATGAGGTTAAACAATGTAGAAGTTATTAAAAATGTATTGGTTGATGTCTTTGTCATCGTCTAAACTGAGAATGTAATAGATTTAAATGTCGTTCGGGATGTGCATGTATTAATGTCATTTTTTGAATAAAAATAGCCACATAGCCCTACAGTAGCGAAAAAATTTCGCCCCGCTATACTAGGGAAAAAAATTTCACCCCGCTACACTAACAAAAAAAATTCACCCCCTACACTAATGAAAAATTTCGCCCCCCTTGACTCAGAATCTTGGATCCGTCCCTGTGTCTGGAGAAGTATTGTGGCCATATTTGTCGATAACCCATTGTCATAAACAGGGCCGGTCCCGAGGAAATGGAGGCCCGGTGCAATAACAAAATTTGGGCTTTTTCTAATACAAACGCATACATATTATGCATATGAATTAGCATTAATTATATTAGTAATAATTTACTATTAAGAATGTTTCCTTTTAGATTGAAATTCTTTTCTCTCGTCTGACTTGGTTGGAGCTGTTTAATTCGGTCTGAATTTGGAAGACGTCTGGTATCTGTGTATTTTATAACAATTCAAGTCTGATATGACCTTGTTTGGTTTGATCTCATTTTGAAACTGAAATAAGCTCAAGTAAAAACATTCTAATTTATATCGAGTACGAGTTATTAATGAATAAAATAGTCAATCAACGTATAAACTATAAAGTATTCGTGAACAAAATACATTTCATTTAAAAGAAACATCTTTAGAGCATATTATGGTAATGTATTATAGTGCAAAAACTAAAAAATTGACAGCCTTATAACCTAATAATATACTACGTATATTGTTAATCTAAATTGAAAAACTGACAATTTTAAAAGTATTAATAGCTTAATGATTTCAATTAACAATTTTAAAAGTACTAATAACTTAATAATTTCAACGTTTTAATTTGGAACCTTTTTTTTTGGGGAAAGTTTTAATTTGGAACCTAATAACATAGACTTGTGCGTTGTGGACTTGTGTCTTTGAATAACTACTCCGTATTAATTACAGAGTATTTAACTTTACAAATTACGGAGTACATTAATGCTTTAAATTAAATGGGAGGAAGAATTGGTGCATCGGTGCTACCAGAATACGGGACCGATAACAATGGCAGATGTTGGGTTGAACAACGGTTCTACTATTAATATTTTTATTTTTTGGGCCTTCAGTTATTCTGGGCCCTGTGCGGTTGGGCTGCCAGCACATGCTTTGGGCCGGCCCTGGTCATAAAGCATCTTCTAGTCAACTAACTTAACTCCTAGTCAAACATTTTCTACTTTCTAATACACACACAAAAAAAATTATTATCTGATTAAAGAAGAGCACGATCATATTTTGGATAAAAGACCAAGCACACACTCGCAGTCTATTGGTTACATAAAATTAAAAAAAAAACATTATTATCTTAATTATCAATTGATCATGATATATTGTGGCTCTTGAACAAAAGAAAGTAATATCATATTCGAGCAAACAACAAACTAATACGCCTGGAATAATTAATTGTTTACTTTAATTTGTACTCGTACTATACACTCGCAGTCTGACTTCGTGTCTATTGGTTACGTACTTACGTCTTAACGCCTAAAAGGAAAGAAGAGCACGACATTAAATTAAATATTAACATAAAATTCTCGCCGTTGCCGGGGATCGAACCCGGGTCACCCGCGTGACAGGCGGGAATACTTACCACTATACTACAACGACCCTTGTCATTTAACTCATCTGATTTAATTTATGTATTCATTCCGCAAAATGAGTAACATTAAACATAGTAGTGTATTACTCCCTCCGTCCCTGAATTATCTTCAAACTTTCCTTTTTCGTCCGTCCCAAAATTATCTACTCTTTCCCTTTTTGGTAAAGAATTTGTGGTTCACAACCATTCTTACACATTCATACACATTTATATCTCTTCTGCACAACTCTTCGCCACACAAATTCCACTATCTTAATTTGTGTGAAATGTCAAAGGAGGAGATAATATAGGGACGGATGGAGTACTACGTACGTGGTACATACAAAGCGGAAGAGAGTAAAGGGTTAAACCATGTTTCTAAGGGGAATGGGTAAAACGAGAAAGGGTTTGTAAGCATATTGTTTTTAATTATTTGTAAAATCGCGAAGGACATTTTTGGTCTAGTAATTTCTGATTCTCGTCGTTATTGGTATGTAATGTTTCTCGCTTGTAGGTTTGATGATATAACTAAAAAATATGTGCAATTTAAAGACTTTTGTCACCATAAAATACATTTTCTATTTGAAAGTTCTCCGCAGCCATCTTTAAAGTAAAGATTTTTGCGGAAAGTGTACTTTACCATGGAAAAATATTTAAACTGTACGGGTTCAATAGTTACAGGACGAAATATGCAATCGAATATAGTTACAACATGATTAATAACGGGCACAATTAAAAGTTTAAAATTTTCGAGCAGATGTGTTGGAACATTTGGATCAATAGATTGGACGAGAGCATTCAGGTGGGAGGGAATTGTTGAACCTTTGTTTATCCCCACAATAGTCATAGGTGATGAAGTAATTCCTCACCCATTTGTAGAGCCTTCTTTGGTATGGTGTCAGGGTCTTAGCCCTGTCCTTATTCCACCAATATGAAGGCCCCCCTGCCCTACAATCCTTTCCATTGTTGCCCTTCCACACACAGCCCTCTAGTTTGTAGTCCTTGAATGAAGCTATGAATGGCGCCTTTGACCAGTCCACTTTGACTTTTCCGCCACTAGTCGCCCAGCTGCTGCCGTCCCACAAGCTGACGGTCAACCCCATCGGCTTCCACCCGGGATATGCCACCCCATCATCTTCATGGTTTCGGAAGGTTCTTATGGGTATCCTATCCACCAAAAACCTGCATCATATTTTACAACTGATTTAATAAGTAGTGGGTACCGATTTAATTCCATCTTAGCGGTATGGGGGAGTAGTACGTATATATTTTGTGAAGTTTATAAATTTGATAAAAGT